AACCATTGGCGCGGATAGTAGGTAAGATTTTTCTTTTATTATCTTTGACTACAGTCCTGGAAAATACTCCTGTAGTATGCTGTTGGACTGGGAGTCCTGTTTAGCTGCTTATTTGGCGCTCGTGGGACAGAAAAGGTGAGCCCTTGGGTATTATGGCTACATCTTCTCAGTACAGTCCTGGACATTGTGGATGTTGTACCAGCAGGCTTTTGGTCATAAACAGATTTTTCTATATGGAATAATACTAAAAATCTTAAAATGTTATTGTGTGGCTCACTTTAGGCGCTAAACTTCAGATGTATCTATTTCATGGACCATTATATTCAGAATTTTTCTATCTTAGCTGGATTTGCTGCTTGCACTAATAAAAATCAGGTATGGTAAAACCAAAAGGTCTTTAAACAGCTTTTGCAATTTTTACAGCTTTTGCAGATGCTGCTGTTGATCCTATTGACTTCCCCATTGCACCTGCATATGCTGTTCCCAAGGTAGGAATAAAACTGAGTGGCTCTTGAAAAACAGCTAACTACTCTAGCGCTGGATCCCTCAGTTCATCCCTCAGTGGATCTTTCTGTAATTAGGATCAAAATTAGTCATAAATACAAGAATATGATTTTTCAGAGGATCAAGGCTAGAATGCAGATTTTCAAAGTAATAAATTTCTCACACCTATTTTGAAAGAGAATATTGTTTTATACTGCTTTCACCAGCTTTGGGCTTGTTTACGCTTTTGAGGCTTTGCAGCTAAAATGGCTAGAAGGCAAAATAAGTAGAGTTATACAAGTACAGACTAGTTCAGAACAACTGAAGACAATTGTGTTGCATGAGGTAATACTGTATCCATTTAACTGTACTTACTGTAGCAGCAGTCTTATTGCGTGATGAAAATCTGTTCTTGGCACAGGGTACTCCCCACTTCTTCTTTTGTGAAAACTGAAGTTTGTGCTTCAGTACCTCGTTTGCCATTTCCCATCTGACAAAGAGGTTCCGAAATGTGAGCTTGAATCAGACTGGGCAGCCTGAGTCACTGCCTTCAACATGGACCTAATTATTTCTGTAACCAGCTTCCTAATTTTTTCATACTAGTAATTATTTTTATTGTTATTCCTAGATCCTAAGTGAGACCGGCCTGAAAAAAGAAGATATTGCAATGTGGGAAATCAATGAGGCTTTCAGTGTTGTGGTGCTGGCCAATATTAAAATGTTGGGTATTGATCCACAAAAAGTAAACATTAACGGAGGTGCTGTCTCTCTTGGACATCCAATAGGGTAGGTAAAGTAAGCACGGGGTTTTGCTCCGCACAGAGGCATGGTTTTCTAGACACACTGCTGACACATTTACCTTTATTCTCAAATTTGATGCAAGTAGGAAGGGTAATAGAAATTTGTCATTAAGTCCAGAGTGACTTAATTCAGGTGCTAGATTTCAGGGTACCTTGGAAAGAGCACAATCCCATTTTTCTCTTCGCAGTTAATTATAAAAGCAGGTGATAAAGAGCTGGCTTGTTACCACAGCTATATGGATCTATGAAGTATTAAAACCAAATCGCTATTAATGGGACAGAATAAACAACAATAATCAAGTTGTTAAGCTAATAAAATTTACATTTTAAAATTGTGAAAACAGTGAAGGACAGGGTACAAGGACTTTCATTTTTCTTGCACCAGCAATGTGAAATTCCAGGTCTTGTCAAAGCATTTTTGGCAGCGAGTCCGCAAGTCTTTAGAACATGCTGCAGTGGACAGGGTGGTCGGGGGGATGTTGGTGGGTCTTTTGCTGGAAGCTCTGTCACCGCGTTAGAGGAGTCAGACCACCTGCTGTGTGTCCCAGCAGCTGAATGCACTCGTGACTGGTATCCCGTTAATCCTCCCGAAGAGTGACTGTGCTGCAGGTCCAGGTCTGCAAGGAAAAACCCACTGCAAAACCTCTAATATAGATGTGAAGCAACCACGTTGCACATCAGGAGCAAGCAGGAGTACTTCGTGGCTCATAAACAGCTCTAAAACAAAGCCATAATCCTGCAAGATGTACTGACACCTCCCTTGCTTCTGATAATTTTTAAGACACAAAAAATCACATTCCCTTAATTTTGACAGTCTAATGACAGAATTTAAACGTCTGATTTTGCATATTAGGTGGATCAAAGTAGCATACTGCACTCTATCAAGTTGTAAGCAAATAAGAAACTGGTATTTTTACTATGGATTTGGTTTTTGTGGTAGATTGGTTACCTTCTCTGAAAGTGCTGTGCTACATGTGGAGATGTTTTGTAATATAGAGACAGATGTAGAAGTGACTTCCTTTTCCAGAAGAAACGTTCTATAAACATGGAGTTTGTGTATGTACAAGAATCCTTCTGTTTAAGTGCTGTAGCTAGAGAAAAATAATCTGTATGGCATCTCGATATAGGTGAAAGGGTTGGTTTGGTCTTTTTGTTGGTGGTTTTTTCCCCTCCAGTGAATCAGCACTATATTCTGCCAACTATCCTGTGTGGGTCAAGTTAAGAATTTCCTTGAAACTAAGCTATATACATTTTTTTCTTTTATTTAGCATGTCTGGAGCAAGAATTGTTGTTCACATGGCCCATGCGCTGAAACAAGGACAATACGGCCTTGCAGGAATTTGCAATGGAGGAGGAGGTGCTTCTGCAATATTGATAGAGAAGCTGTAGGCCCAAACAGTGTTGGAAACAAAGCTTTAAATGCTCACTGATCAAAATGATGAGTGGTACCTGTTACATCTTCTTTATCAGTAAGTGGATGAAGTCCTTAACTGCTATTCTAAAATTTCTTAAAACATCACTGATTATTGAAACAGGTAACCGGGCTTTTATTACTTTAACTCAGTGCAAGCTTTTATACAGTAAAAATAAAAAATGTCCAATTATGATAATGTCATGAGACCTGACAATAAAGAATGTTTGCTAGCTGTGGCTCCTCTGTCACTGACATATGGTTTCTCTAACGCCATTGAAAATGAGTTCTTTTGGTAACTCATAGTGCTGCTACTAGAAGCAGCTAGTTTCTTACCGTTTTGTTGCTTAATTTCCCTAACTACTGTGTGATTTTCACAGAAAAAATAACTTTACTCAACGGTTGGTTTCCTACTGTTGTGTACCTTGAAGCCAGGTCAAACGCAGCGCAGGAGCGCTGCCGCAGGATGTGCTCACCCTGGCTTGGGGCGCAGGATCAAAGCAAACTTGAAGTGATGGCACAAGTACCAATATGGCCTCAAAATGCTACTGCTCCTTTGTCGTCCATGTAAGCCTCTGCACTGTGCGGTTTTGTCAATACGCTTTTAAGCAGAGGCAGCAGAGTACATTCAGCGTTACTGTTTCTGCAGCAGGAGCTGCTGGCCCCCTCAAGCCCACGGTTCCATCTCCAGGAGTGCGGGGTTAAGCACTCCTAGGGCAGCTTTGGGGGGACAGGAGACTGCTGTCCTGCAGGGAGTCTCATGCCAGACTTCAGGAAGAAGTTTATGCAGTTTTACCAGAGGCTATTGGCTATTTCACCACTACTTCTTCCCACCTCCCCCTTTTCACAAGGGACAAACATCAACCACTTGTCCTAAATCTCAGCTAACTGCTTTCTTATCTGGACATTAATTTCAACAGAAAATCATCTTTACCCACTGCTCATCCTTACGTTTTCCTCCATAAAGTAAGGGGAATAAATACTTTGACTGGGATGTAGTAGGATCTGTTTTTTCTGGGAAGGAATATACTTGCAGCAGTACCAAATGAACAGGGGGCTTTAAATGCCATCTACTAAGAAAATTTACCTTAATTCATGCTCTGACAGCTGTTCTTTTAAAAATTACTTGCCCTATGACAGCAGCTGGGAACTGAAGGTGCTGCTTCATTTGAAAGTGTCAGTGAACAGATAATTCCCAGCTTTAGTATTACCAGACCTCCTGAACTGAAAAATGATGGTGGATAGTGGCTGTCCCATGAAAAAGAGACCAATAAATAGCAGATCTATTTAAAAGCATCACCTACTGCCTGTCAGAATACTATTAAGCATAAAATGCCACCATGTAGCAACGAGGTGATTGGTTTTGCCACTCTGATGCTGCTGTTAGAACTTACTGAACTCTTGGTCTTAAAAAATTACCGATCGACATGACTTTTCTACACAGTATCTGCACAGCTGCTTAGTGGACTTACAAAATACTAAGCAAGACACTCAATATTTTATTAAAACAAAAATATTTATTCAAGCTGTAAATGCTATGCAGTATTTTGTTATTGGATGGGTTTAATATAAACATCTACTGCATAATATTGGTTCCGTAGGAATCCTTGTATACTATCTGAAACATTGCCCCATTGCTGTAAGAGCTCTTAGAAGAAAACTTGCATTTTTTAAGACCTCAACAATTTGAGAACAAAGGAAGAAATACCAGTAGAGGAAACTGCAGTATTGGAGCAAGACTTAGTGTAGTAACTTTCACCCATGCTAATTAGTACTAAAACGCAGGCTGAGCTGCTCCTGCGCCTGTTTTGAAGAGAGTTTGTACAATAGCTGTGACAACGTCTATGTTAAACAGAAAGATCAGATGCAACTTTTTCCATGTCTGGCTGAAAGCGTAAGTGAAATCAACACACGCTTTCTCAGTGGTACAAATGACAGTTAAAGAACTGACTTTTGCAATGGAACATGCTGAAATTCTTGTCTGGCTGTTGCTACAGTTTAAGTATTCACACCAGGGTGTGAAAATAGGCTTAACCCACAACAAAGCACCTAGTCTGAAAACAGCTTTTGCATTCAGGTGACAACCGTGCAGCAAATGCTGTGAACAGATGAGGCCTATCCAAATGAATGTTCTTACCTGAATGACTGGTTGGGAAAAGCTTCCTTAGATGAGAAAAAAGTCTGGAGGTTTTAAGGGCCTTATGTTTAGTTACTGGTATTTTTGTTAACTCGTTCAAAGCCTTATGACACGGGTTTGACAGTTACGTGAGAAAAGAGTGTCGGTACCAGCCAGTCACATCTGAAGATTAAGTCCCTTCTGGATTCAGCAAGGCAATGGGACGTGGCTCCGAGCGGTGCGCTCCAAACGCCGCCTCCAGATTCACCGCCTTTTCACAGATTGGCCCAGCGGCTCCGAGGAGTAAGGAGAGAATGCAGCAGAACACAGACACCGTGGTGTAATGGGAAACATACAACTTTTCTTACATTACATTTATACAAATTTACAATTTTGCAAATTAAATGGCTCTATAATTATGCAAGTGCTTTTTAAAAAATAAACATATACCAACTCAATGATATTTACACTTAGCAACCTGCTTCGGGAACAGCATGATTTTGCTATAAAGTGAAACTTCAGTGCACTGAAAGTGCAACTCACCCTTTAGAATTAAATTCTCTTCCCATGCCAAACCTCAGCTTAACGATACCTAGCTTTAGACAGTCACAGTTCAACAATTTTTTTTTTTTCATTCATCATAATTTGAAGAAAACAGGAA